TCATAAATATTATTTTTTAATTAATTTAAGACAACTCTTAACATAATATTGCATGATAAAAATTCTCTTATTTTCCGTATTCTATTTTTCAATTAAAAAAAAAAAACGAAGTACAGTTTGTTTTCCACACAACCGATTGTGCCGTAACGCTCTCAGAGGAAGTAGAATTATGATTTTAAATTGTCGTAAAGTCCCCACTTTCAATTCCAAAAGTCCGATCATTAGTTTCCCTGCAGTCTGCCGGTGCCTCCTCCTTCCCTTTATTCCCGTTTTGCCCCTTCCCGTTCACACTGCACTATACAGACCAGAATCCTCGTCACCAATCAACTCATTTTCCCTTTCACCCACTAACCAAATCCGTACAAAATTCCACTGAACAGAAACTGCACAACTTCACTCAATTCCCCTTTGTTTCCTTTCTTTCCACAGTACTTTCTCCCCCCCCTTCCCTTTTTCCTTTTAAACCGCGTGGGAATCAGCAGCAATGGGATCAGACCTGACATTTGCAGATTTAATCCTATAAAATCAATGTTCATCTTCATCCCGTTCCTTAATTCGTCGTCTGCAGTCTCCTGACTTCATCTTTACAGGATCGCCGGAGGAATTTTGTTTCTCTCCTGAAACAGTACTCTCTATCGATGCATCATCTGTTTGGTTGCAGAGAAAGTGCAGGAAAATAAAAGGACGAAAAAAAGGAAAAGAAACGCTTTCTTCTTCCTGAAGGTAGTAAAGAAAGTTTTGCATTGTCTGCTAATTGCTGAGCTCACTTGTTCAGGACTCAACACTTTTTTTTCCTTTTCCTTTTGGTGAGCAAATCTCCGTGAGATTTCGATTTCGAGTTTTATGGTTTCCCTCTAAAATTTTATTAAACGAAATCTTTAAGAATAAGGTTCTTCAATTGATATAATTAATTCAATGATTTTCAGGTACCAAGCTGAAATCGGAGGGGTTCAATTTCCGAGGATCTGATTTTCTTTGCGGTGATGGGGAAAGGTAATACCGGGAGAGAATGGACTCAGATCTACGCGATATACGGCATGGAGCAGTGCCAGAGGCTGGTGTTTCTCTTGGGCCACGCCGTTCTGTTCTCGGTGCTGTCCGTGCTCTTTCTCTTTTACTTCGATGTGATATTCCACTTCTTTCAAACCTTTCTTTCCAGTCCCGGTGCGGCCAGGTTCGCCGCCGGCTTCAGCGGTGCCGTCACGGCTATCTCGGCCGTGTGCCTGTTCTTCGCCGCGGCTAATTTCTTTTACTCGGCTGGTCCGCTGCATTACGACATGGCGCATCGGATGATCGGCTCGGTCAATGATTGGTCAACTGTGAAGTTGGCGCTTGATATCGGTTGCGGGAGGGGAATACTGCTCAATGCGGTGGCGAGGCAGCTGAAAAAGACCGGCAGCTCTGGGCGGGTCGTCGGCTTGGACCGGTCCAAACGAACCACCCTCTCAACTCTCCGTACCGCTAACATGGAAGGTCTGTAATTCTTTTTTTTTACACCCTTAAATTTTAATTTTTTTAAAAAAAAGAGATTATTTTACGATTTGAATTATATATTACTCTTAAATAATAGATTATTGATATCAAAATTTCCTTTATTTAAGGTGAAAGATTTTTAATTTGTAATTTAATATGTAATACAGTTTAAATTGTAAAAATTAAAAAATTTTAAATTCACTAAATTCGTAATTATTTTAATTTCTCAGGCGTCGGAGAGTATGTGACGTGCCGGGAAGGTGACGTGAGGAGTCTCCCGTTTGGGGATAACTATTTTGATGTGGTGGTATCGGCGGTGTTCGTGCACACGGTAGGAAAAGAATACGGGCACCGGACGGTGGAGGCGGCGGCGGAGAGAATGAGGGTATTGGGGGAGATTGTGAGGGTTTTGAAGCCCGGTGGGGTCGGGGTGGTCTGGGACCTTCTACACGTGCCGGAATACGTGCGACGGTTGCAGGAATTAAAGATGGAAGACATCCGGGTTTCGGAGCGGGTCACCGCCTTCATGGTCAGCAGCCACATGGTATCCTTCCGGAAGCCTAGTCAGCATGTCATGGGGCCCGGAGAAGTCCGACTGGACTGGAGATGCTGATGTGGAAATAAGGATTGAATAATTAGTTTTAGATAGAAAGAGTGAAAGTGGCCCCAAAAAATAAAAATAATAAATAATAAAATAGAAAGAGTGAAAATGATACAATGAAAAATATAGTGATGGTAATTTAAATGGTTTTATAATAAATTCTGGGGAGACGAAGTCGAGCCAGATTAGTGGATGGATACATATTTAATGGTGCAATTTATGAGTGGTTTTGATTAGAGTTTGTAAATAGACCATGGAGGAATTTCTCTTGTTCCATCTTCGGTATTGTTGTATATATAATTACTATATATAAAGTATTATATACTATGATGATTAATAAAATAAATTGCTTTTGCTTTTACTATGGGTTCAAAACTATTGATAATTTATTTTTAAACAGGAAAATAGGACTTAAATTTCACATTTTAATTTATATAAAAATACTTTTACAATGAGTAGGTGACCAATAGTCCACCGAGGACTTCTCAAAACTATGAATAATTTAATCTTTAAATTATTTATAACTATTATATTGATTAAGAAAAAGTATTTGTTAGTTAAAATTTTAAAAAATTTAAAAAATATATTTTAAAATTATATTATTTTTTTAATATTTTTTATTAAAAATATTAAAAAATATTTTTAAATAAAAAATGAATTATTTTT